TACAAATTGTATTTCAAATACTGTATTTCAAACACAAGTATTTGAAATATGCCCAGCCCTGTATATATATATATATATATATAGGTATATATATATATCACCCAAAAAAAAATTTTTTTTAAATATTAGTGAAATTCACTAAATCTTAGAGGATATTATTCTTATATATGGCCTTAAGATATATTTCTTGCCTCAATAATTTCGTCTTGCATTTGCAGTACAAGTCTTGCTGTTTTTTATGAATGTCCTCTTGTATACAGATAATATGTAATATAATATGTATTGATAATATATATTGTTTTAAGAAATATATTGTATACAGATTATATAATATTGAGATGAAAACGCCAATACGATACAAAACAGAACTTGGTGCTTGACAATATTATAATATGTGAATCTTACGATTCTCACAATCAGTTCAGGCAAACTGTGCGCCGCATAATCGTCGGTCTTTAATACGCAGCTTTAAATTGAATAGTACGTAATATCATAATTAAATTGCCAAGGCAACCTAATAATTCGATGCTCATAGAACATCTTTTTTAAATCCTGTGAAAATTATTCTGAAGTAATATTTTTCGCAATAAGTTATTTTCACAAGAATCTGTTTGGAATCTCGTTCCAAAATCTGGCCAAGCTCCGGTCTAAAGTGAGGCATTTAACATGTTAAAGACAATAATGATAAATACTTATCCTTCATGAATAAGTGACTGTGCAGGATTAATTCTCCTCGATTCCGCGCCCGTTTCCGCGAGCGGCACGCTCTGTTTGATAATGACCTCGAACTCCGGCGATCTCGTTCTTATCTGACGTTTCTCATGACGTTCGATGGTGATTGATGCGTGTCGAGATGAGAAACGATTACGAATTTTTTTGTCTTTTTTGTCACAAGAGCCGACCGTGAGTTTAACAGAAAAAACGTTCCCCTACATAATTCTATAGTAACATGTATAATTATTAGAAAAATTTTAAAGATAATTTTTTTAATAATTTTGATTCTCGCCATTTCTATTCAACTTTCATTTTTTAAATAGATAAATATGTGAAAATATCAATAAATCGATGTTTTGCCACTTCTATTGAATTTTCATTCTCAGACGCAAATAGATGTGTATAGGAATATTATTAACATCTTTCTCCAAGTAAAATATTAAATCTGTCGTTAAGATGTTATAAATATAATTATATGTTACGAATTTCATAAATGGTACGAGTTGCATGAAATCGCGCGCGGACCGTCTTCAGGACCTGTCTCGTTTATTTTCAGTCTCGTTCTGGCGTTACGAAATCATAATTTGCCAATGCGAATTTACCAACCCAACGGACACTCGCGCGTGCACCATCGACAATGGTTAACAATTTGTTCGCTTTTACGTAATCCACATGTGTCTTCCGTCGCGCCGTGACGATTTTTTTGCGACACAATATGTCACGCATGGGATGTTCCGCGAGAGAATCGAGAACGGAAAACACAAGATATTGTCAGAAATTCATGGTCTGGGAAATAACTTGAAAAAACAATCAAGCTTATTAAATATCTGACTTATTATTTTAAACGTCAAGCTTATTAAATATCTAACATGAAGAAGAAAAGTTGTACAAGTTGTATAATTTATTGTTTAATTATTGAATTGAATAAGAAGTTCTCAACGTTTTTTTTTTCTCAGCTACTTCCACTGCCACTTTTTCAAGCCTTATTCTGATCTCGTTGAATACATAATGAAATTGTGTAACAAAAGCCGTCTATTGAAGAAACATGAGATAATTTTTTTGTTCAACTTGATATAATTATACTAGCATAATATAATTTTTACCATACTTAATTTTAATTAAAACATGCATTAATTAATTAATTTTAATTAGTACGTTTGAACAGCTTTAGTTTGTACTTATTTCTGAGATTATCGCCCTCCGATACGTTCTGCATTTTGCGTCATTCTCTGCAGCTATTAATTATAATTCTTGTCCTTTCAGAAAATAACGTCAGCGGTCTTCGTGCGGCAGCTCACCGATGCGTCCACGGATCTCAAAAAGGTTCTCGCTGACAGGATCCCGAGGGAGCAGGAGCGGGTCAAAGCCTTCCGTAAGGACCATGGGTCCACTAAAGTTGGAGAAGTCACGGTCGACATGGTACGCGTTTTACTATCACATTCTCTCGTGTTAAGAGTCGAATCGCCTTTGTAAAATAGAATAGTATCACAGGATAGGACAATCTTATTTTAATTACTTTTAAATTTGATCGGAGGGAATTTTTTTGTTTGAATAAAATCTCGTTTTTCCAGAAAAAGATATACATTCTGCACGTTATTATTACTGTCTTCAATAAAATCTTGTTTCCTTTATCGCAATTGACGATTCAGTTGTATCGCGGCGATTAGATATTTGCAATCATCAATAATTAACAATTACAATAATCGTGAATTCGACCGGATGACGGAGGAGAGAGGATACGACGAGTTATTATTCGTTACCAACTGGAGAATATACGCGACTTGCGATAAAGTCCGCGTGCTTGCTTTGTGATCATATGATAATCGCAGCGCACGTGACAATTTCTGATCACCGCATGCGGCGTCAATGAGCAGCGTATTTTTTTTTTTCGCCGCGCGGCTATCAGCCGAATGGAACGCGTGACGATTAATCGTCATCGAGAACGAGCCTCGCATGTGACAATCTCACTTGTCGCGCATGAAGACCTCATTCATCAGCTCTGTGTATCTATTTTTATTATACTTATCGCCGATCTCTGCATGATTAATTAATGTTTTAATAGTCATGATGCTAATATTGTTTAAATATGGGTCTAACTAGTCAGAACGTCGTTGGTATTAATGAACTAATCGAAAATATCGACGGTACATCTTTGAATGAGATTATTGAGAAATTTGAATACTTTAATTAAATAAATTTGAAGCTAATTTCTCATGATTATATTAACATTTATTGAAATTTATTAAGGGGTTACACCACCTTGACCGCCTAAAAATCAATCGGTAACTTTTAATTTTTTTTAGGAAAACAATAAAAGTAACAAAAAATTCGTTTTTTAAGGCTTTAATAATACAAGTCTTTAGAAGTAAAATATTTTATTTATTTATTTTTTTGAACAAAATGGCGACGCTGAAGCCAATTTAAACGTTATTTTGTCAAATCGGCGTTGCGGAGATCTGCCATTTGATTGAACCTGGAGCAAAAAACCAAAATTTTTAAAAAACTATATAATATGCACTAAAGAAATACATACGAATATTTCGATATGTTAAATACTTT